TATCACGCACCTTCCCCCCTCCTCTCGCCGGATCTCCGACACCAGCATATCATGTAGGACAGGCAGCAAATCCGGACAGAGCATGAAGTGTGTGTTGATGACACCCATGATAGCTGCTGCTTCTTGATACACGCATGTGTTCGTTGTGGAGTAGCCGTGGCCACCACGCGCATTGTGCGAATGTGAATTTTGATGGAAGGACGCGGTGTTGTGTTCTGGATTTTAGGGGTTTAGAGTTTAGGGTTTTATGGTTTAGGACGGGTAGCTAATGATAGGGTTCAGGGTTTAACTTTCTGAATCACATGAGCTATGATGAGAGAAAGTAAACACCTTAGCACAGAAGTGACAGCGCACGTGTCCACCACGTGCCTGGGCGTGTCACAAACATCGGGAAGATAGTACTAACTTCTTCTCTGGGAAGAGTCTGCAGCCCTTAACTATCTATATTACTATACATGTTACTATGAACAACCCATTTACCTACCTATAATACTCTACCTGCTACTAACAACACCAATCCATTTACCTACCTATGATACTATACCTGCTACTAACAACCACCCATTTACCTACCTATAGTACTGGCCACTTGAGTCAGCCTGTTGACTATCCACAGCCACACAGACTCTCCCTGGCACGGTGCTCGGCCTCTTTTATTGTGTTGTGTGAGTGCGCGGATGTCACTGTCACTGTCACTGCCGTCATCCATAGACGCGTTCAAGCGAGAGCTGCGAAAACAAGAAGTGTATAGGCATGTGTAAGTGAATAACATTAACAAGCGTATAATAAGAAGACACTAGACTCATGTGTACAGAAGTGTATAGTGATGTGTATGTGAATAGCATTAACAAGCGTACAATAAAAAGACACTAGACAGAAGTGTGTTGTGATGTGTATGTGAATAAGATTAACAAGCTTATAATAAGAAGACACTCAACCCATACGTGCACATCAGTGTATAATTAGTGTAGGGGATGTTAGTGCGCGGATGTCGATGTCAGTCGATACTTCGAAGCACACAATTGGCATTGAGCACCGAAGTCACACAGGAACGTAGATATGTACTAAATGATTTTAGGGTTTTAAAATTCTAAACCCTAAACCCTAAACCTCTACCAGGGCCTAATCTGGACTGCCTGTGGAAGGCTTGGGCAGTGCTTGCACGTTTGGCTCATAGTTCTATTGGCAGTAGACATGTACATGAATGGACAGTATTAGTTATAGTATTATGTCTATACACACACGACTCAGGTATAAAATATATCACTGGCAACTATGTACAATGTACGACACTTGTGCATGGAAGGTCACGTTAAAACACGTGTGATGTACACAACACACAAATAATATGACACAATTACCTATACATGACACTTGATATATGCACATAAACATTCGTTCATGCAAGAAATATATCTAAACACACGCACACACACGGCGGCGTGCGTGTAATATATATATATATATATACATATATACACACACACACA